ACTGCTGTTAAAAAGACTTTTTATGCAGCTAATATCACCACAAATGTGTAAATTCACTCTGTTCTCTGACCCTGACCCTATAATATGCCTCTAACCAATCTGTGTTTTCCAACAGAAATCTGAACTCTAACCCCTTCTTATCTAATTCCACTGTATATAATTAGTTGTTGTTTGACACTGAATAATCTGTCTACATACATCAAATTCTGGAATTATGTTCCTTATATTTTCTATCTATAACCCCAGGTAATTATGAAAAAGTATGTTCCAAAACCTTTTTTTGAAACTTATAATTTGATTTAGTTTAGGATGTATGCAGTTGATGAGTATCCACGAAATAAAACGAGCTCGTATTATCCTGCAAACATGTTCGTTCTTTCTCTCTTCGAACTAATAAAAGAAACCGGTTGTATGAAATATCATAATAACTGAGCATGTGAAGCCAACATACCCAGCTAAGTCCTTTGAACATGCGAAAAATGACGTCACATCCCACTGTATTTACCAATTTGAATGTACGTGTGGACACACACACATACATAGGGAGGACTCATCGATCTCTGCAAGTAAGGGCTGGCTTCAGAGTATATTCCTAAATCGCTTTAGAAACAAATGGAATCTTCAGAACCCATTAATGGTGAGAACAGGAGACCTAGCTCTTCTATTGCGAAACATATTATAGAAACAGGACATAAAATTGATGTTAACAGATCTTTTAAACCTATCTATAAAACGTGTTTGGGGAGTATCCTAAAGTTTGTGGAGGCCCTAGCAATTAGAAAGTTTAAGCTAATTTTATGTGTTCAAAAACAATTCGTCAACACACTAAACCTTCCTTGGTAAATGTTGTTTTGATACCATAGCAGATGTACTATTTGCTATTTGGTTTAGTGGTCTTCATTGTTACTTTGACGTTGAATATGTCCTTTTAACTTGACCTAAGTCTATTTTTCTCACCTCTTACCTCTTTATTAATTTCATATATATTCCTATGACAAGTCCGCGCGGGATCAGATTGTTCGAAATGTGTTGTGCAAATACTACATTACACGATTCAGACAAATTACGTCTTCTTATTGCTTTATGTAAAAATGTAAAGGGAAATAACTGTTTTAAAAATATCAGTGATGACGAAGAAGAATAGGATGACTTAGGAGAATTACGTAAAATACAAACAAACAAGTCAATAGAATTAACCAGAATTGTAAAAACTAACAAAGTGAAAAGACAGTTAGTTACAAGCGGAGGGGAAAAATTGTTTTTTAACAACCCTAATACACATTATGTAGTTGGCCATGACAAAGAAAGGGGCTGTACAAATTTCTTTTGAACACACAGATTTGGCTCGTTCAGATGAATTCCGATTGCCTCTGCCGTATATAAAAGTCGTACTCGTAGAGCATGAGAGAGGTTTGGTGAAATTCGATAAATAACTTTAAAAGCTTTGTTAGAGTCAACGTGACGTCCAGTGTCAATGACGAAATGAGCTAGTATTGAGCTGCATATAGCTTTATTCGGACCTTTACTGAACCAAGATGAGAGAAGTTCAGAAATTCGACGATGAACTTGCCTGATCGTACTCCCCATGTAACGGGCTCCTCACGAGCAGTTAAACTGGTAAATACACATGGAAGAGGTAAAACAGGACAGTCTTTCTTTATTTTTTTAACTAAGTATTGGTCGGCTAGTGAATACACAGTATACCTTAGCTACATAGAAAGTCCTTTTGAACGCCCTTCTCAGACGTTGTGATAAGATCTTACTATTGACATCACCCGCGAATTGTAACCTTAGGAAGATTGACTTTTTGAGAACAGTCGGCAACTTCGACTTTTAACTTTCTGAGTCTATGTGTTTGTTTGCCAATTTAGTTGGATATGCGTTTCTGCCTAGTAGGACGTGAATATTATCGATTTCTTCGTTCAGCATCTCATCTAAACAGATAACTCTAGCACGGTGAACCAAAGATCTAACCAGATTAGGTGTTTATTGTAGGGGTACGAAGCTCAGGAAGTGAGTATATTGTCCAGTGGAAGTAGAATTTCCATACAAATCCATAAATATTGTTCCATCTGTTCGTTTAGTCATTAGGACAACCAAAAATGGGATAAAGTCGCTTTCTTCTTCTTCCTTAGTGAAGCTTATGCTGGAATGTTCTCTACTGAATTTATCCAATATGTCCTAAGCCTCACTTTCTTCCTTAACAATTATAAATGTATCATCAATATATCGGTAATAGAAATCAAGATTATATATTAACCACTCTCATATTCTGTCGACAGAAGAAACTTCAACTAAACAAGTTCAGTTATATTTTGAAAAGTCCCATAATTCAACTGGTCTGCATTATTAACTTCATTCGTCTCGCTTTATTTTTAAATTGTTTTACTTTTCAAATAAATCTTGTTGGCGGTCCGCTTGAATCATTGAACTACCTGAATTTTTTATCAATCACACAGTGTATCATAATTTCTCTAATTCCAATTTTTTTTTAATTATTTCCTTGAGATGCAAAATTTACTCACGCTTACTTTTAAAATGGTCTTGAAATTACCGGTGAGCATCTCTCAGAGACGTTGGGAAAATGTCATCTATGCTTCAGATAGAACAACATTACATCACATGATATACTATAGATTGCTGTTCCACTTGAAAATCCTGGATGAAGAGCAAATATCGCTCAGCTAATTCATCTGAGAATTCTGTATATTGGTAGAACATTTTATGTAGAAAAAAGAAACTATTATTAGGCATAAACGTGGTCTACAAGTACTGGTTCGTTCAAATGATGGCTGTGGCATAGACGGCACTAAAATGGAAACTAGGTCAACCATAAAATACCTTAGAATAAGTCTATCCTCTGGCCTTCCTCAGTCATCCCATATTTTGTTGATCTCCGAGAAAATGTTTCATCTAACCTTCTACATCAAGAAGGTTTGTTAAGTCTTGTATATTGCCTATTGTACTTTATTGCTTCCTCTTAGTCTTTCCTGGATTACTCAAAATCAACTGTGTCATAGTGAGAAGAGTATTAAAGGTTGTAAGCAGGGCAAATGGTGTGCTACATAGTCAACTTGTTACTACTGTAGTTGATAAAAACCTGAACTCATGTGAGAAATATTGTCTAACCCTCAACACTCTCTCTATTTTCAAATTCTCCCTTGCATCTCACCACATAGGACTAGAAATCAATATAAAAGATTGTATGCTCAAAAAACCGAGTACAGAAACTCAACGATACTCTTATTTTGCCTGCGTCCTATGTGATAGAAATAATGTTTTTGTTTTGTTTCTTTATTGCAGCTTGATTCCACACCGTATTTTCTGATACAGGTATGGAATTTTCAGCATGTGATATCGATAGCCCAAATTTCGCAGGCCGATAATAGATATCAGATGTGCGTCGGCAGGTGATCGAACCCAGACCATGTGCATGGTCGGCGACAGTCCTAACCACTGTGCCACCGACGCATATGTATATATATATATATATAATTAAACTCAATTTTAGATTTTCCCATCGATTGATTGAACCGAAGTGCTCGGTGTCAGGTTGACATGTCGGTGGGAACATTGTCACTCCCTGCGGAATGCAGGTACATCCAGTTGACGAATCCCAAATAGAACGAAATGCGCGTTATCCTGGATTCCACTGCAAGTCACCATCGACCAATTAACTTCTAATATATATATATATATATTATATATATATATATATATAAATATATATATATATATATATGTTTACCTTTACTGTGAGCAGCATGTAACATATAAAACACTGAAGCTGAAAGGTCACAGATATGTTGTAACACTTATAAATAACCTTTTCTGACCACAGAATAAATATCTATCCCTTCAGGAATTTGAATATGTTTTGTAGGAGCTGAGGTTAGAGTCGTTGTTGTTCAACTGTTGGCATCCCAGATGACAAAACGTGGACTTCATCAAGACTGCAAGCGTTGTTTCTTTTTAAATTACACTTTTTTTCTCCAATATGTCTAAAAGTACTCCAGTTTACGGACATTTCTGTATTTGAAAAACATGAAACCTTTAGATTTCTGTTAATTTAGAAAGCAGAAGAAATATTTAACAAAGCACTAGTTGACATAGAACTGGTGAAAAGACTTCCATATTAAAGGAGGTGCAGGCTGTAAGGAGAGAGAGAGAAGACAGTCATAGGTTGGGTGGACAGAAAGACTCTTGGAGATACGGAGGTCGCAGATGATTTCAAACAAACTTAAAGATCTACAGTTTAAAACCCGCAAGTTGGCGGAAGATATTGGTAGCAAAGACAGGATACCAAGTGAACACAGAGAAGACAGAGATGATGAAGACACTAACCAACAACAGTCACGATCAACAGAAGAAATCTAAGGAAGTTACTGCTTTCACTTATCTACTCTAGGCTACATCGTTTTAACTACAGGCGGCACAATTGAGGATGTCAGAGGCTGAATCAAAAAGGCAAACCAAATCTCCACAACTCTTAAATCAGTTTGGGAATCTCCTGCACTCAGCATTGAGAACAAGATCCGAATTTCGAACACTAGTGTAAAGTTAACGCTTCTTTATGCCACATGTGCCATCCAAATCAAATTGCAACAGGCTGCTGACTTTCATCAACAGTTACCTCTGCTCCATACTGACGATCAGATGGTGCACTAGCTGTAAGGGATAAACAACAAGGAACTCTGGCGACAGATCAATCAAGATTACACTTGTTTAACCATTAAATTACACTTTATCTCAAGGAGGCTACCAAGTGTGACGTGAATGAGAAAAAAAGAGTTCGGTGTGGTTGCGACAGTAACATAGAGGACATCATGTTAGGAGGCAACAAAAGCCTACAGGTACCTATGAAGTCAGCCGAAAAAGGCTATAGAGAACAGAGTAAACTGGAGCCGCGCTGATATCACCCTACTTTCCCAAAGGAAAAAACAACCCCAATGATTCTGGGAACAGCAGTAAAAGAAGATACCTTCTCATGACATAATAGTAATAATAATAATAATTTATTCTTCACACAATAAAATAAAGGAAAACAGTCGTTATATTGTGCTTTTACATTCTTTTTTTTGTATGTAAAAGAGACATATGAATATGACTGGCATAAAAATAACTAATTAGTTTGTCGCAATTAATAAATAAAATTAGACTGAACTAAAAACTTCGAAAAATTCAAACAAATCAATAAAAACAAGTAGAAATGATTTATTGCCTCAAGTTTTGTTTAAAATATAAAAAAATTCCAAAATCAAAAGTGTAATCCCAATCCAAGAATGAATTTTTGCTGTTGTTTAAATAAGTAAAATAAGCAAGCATATTACATATTCAAAAAAAAAATAGTCACAAAGAAATGAATAATTAAAATAAAATGAAACTGAAAACTAAATTTGAATTACGAATCACCATAATACATATAATATATATGTATGTTTAAGTATATAAACAATTCAGATTAATCAATCAAGCTTATTTCCATGGCATTATATGTTCAATGATTCAAATAAACAAATATTCAATGAGAAAAAAAAGTGATCAATGCCTTCATAGGCCATTTTTTATATATTATAATAAATGATAAATGATTTTAAAAAGCATTAAATGATGTGAATTAATATACAAATTCTTTGGATAACTTTTCATATACACATATTCATCATATATTGTTATTGTGATTATTGTTAATGCTGATTTTTAAACAACATTATTCTGAGACAATCATATCGTCACTGTTGTCTTCTGAATCAGGACGAACTCGAACTGAATGATTGTAAAGACCTTCAGCCATTAGATGCAGTGCCAAGCAGTTCTGTGCTCCAGACGCCTAAAATAGCAAAAAGACGTATACGGATATAAATAACTGTATATCCTAAAAAATGGGAATAATACACTCCGGCATTGTTTCGCACAAAACGAATGCCTTAAGAGAAAACTTTTAAGACTGGACACCCCATAAATTTAGTAAACATATCTGAACTACTTACAAATATTAAAGTAGTATCACATTTTATTAAAAATAGTTCACACTGTTTCAGCTCGAGATATAAAAGGAAGTGGGCGTCCCGTTAGAATCAGAATCAAAGAACACAAATTAACTGTAAGAAAACATGATATATGCTCTTTCATATCAATGCATATAGATAATTACAGATATCAGTTTGATTGGAATCATGTCGAAATTTTAAACAGAGGAAACATCAAAAGTCCTAGAGAATTCCTAGAAGCCTGGTTGGTACTCAAGTAAATCAACCAACGATTAACAAACGTATTAATATATGTACCAAATTTACCGACCTATAAAGAGTAAATCACGTGACGAGAAAGTTCAAATTCAAAGTCAACAGAAGTTATCAACACAGATGTAAATCGACTGCCAGTCACGAAGATGCCTTACATCATTCATGGAGAATGTAGACCAGTTCATTTTATGCTAGAATTTATGCTGAAAATGTTGTCCAGAAGGACGGCAAAAGCTCCACAACTAAACCAACCAGCTCAGGGAATACAACTAATAGCCAAATGAATGAAGCTATTCGCAATTAATAGTGTTCTCTGAACTGGTTGGTTTAGTTGTGGAGCTTTCGTCGTCCTTCTGGATAACATCCCCTCTCAGTGCAATATTTAGCATAAAGTAAATGATTAAAATTTTTCATGAGTGATATAATTGCGTCTCCCGGTATGTACTGACCATTTTCTATTGACTTGGATTTTAAACTTTCTAGTCACCTGATTTACTTTTTATTATTTGGTATACTTCGTCTATATTATCGTGTTTGTTAATAGCATATTCGTGTGAGTACCAGGCTTCTAGGAATTCCCTGGCACTGCACTTTTGGTGTTTCCTCTATCTAATATTTTGACATTATCCCAATCAAACTGATGTCCATAATTGTCTGTATTCATTGATACTAAAGAATTTATATCATATCTTTTCACGGCTGATTTGTGTTCTTGGATTCTGATTCGAAGGGGACTCCCACTTTGGCCGATGTAATACCTGTTACAGTTCACACATGCAATTTATTTTGTAAATGGTATTAATTTTATCCCCTTTTTCTATTGGATCTTTCGGTTAGCATAATATCGAATTAAGCGATGTGACTGGCTTGTGTGCTATATTTATATCAAACAGTTTCAATATTCTAGCTGTTATTTCAAAGATAGTTTTCATGTATGGTAGGATGAATGTTTTCCGGTGGTCTTTGATGATGGTTCCTTCCTTGTTGGTGTTTTGATTCGACTTTAAACACTTTTTGTTGAAATTTCGTTATAACCATTCTTTTTGAAGACCGTTAGTAGGTAATTTTCTCCCATTCTTTTCAACTCTGGAGTGTTACAGTGTGTTTGGACCCTCTTGTGAACAATGTCTGCACATAGTTTCGTTTGTGGGTAATTGGATTATTGCTAGTGTAGTTGAATATTTGATCTGTGTGCGTTGATTTTCTCTATACTTGTGTTTCTAAATTTCCTGTGTTGGTTGAATGAAGCTACTTCAAAATTACATTTCTTTTCACAATAATTGTGAACTCACATCACTCATTACAATTTACAAATAATCAAGAATAATAAAATAAAAACTCTCTTACAAATCACCTTCTTCGTTTTTGCACGTTTATTCTGAAACCAAATTTTCACTTGTGATTCTCTTAAATCCAGTTCTTTGGCAAGTTTCTTACGACGAATCTCATCAAGATAGCTAAAGTGAAAATTCAAAGGTAACAAAATGTAATGAAGATGATAATAAAGCATGCGAAATGACACTTATTACGCTAAATAATAGTTAACTACAATGCATGTGAATTGCAAAACTTCAGGAATTTATATTCATTCAGCAGATTTATCTGGTTTTGCGTTTCCAAGGTCAGTCACTTTAATCACACAGAGAGAAATTGAAGACATTCTTACATTTAAATATTTAAAAAGATGGTTGTAGCGAAGAAAATTTTCTTTTCGACGAAGTCATCAACTAGGCGGATGTACATTCGTGAATTTATAGTAAATGGGTGAGAAAGTTCGAGAATTATTTCCGGTCAGAGGTCAGATTAATAAAATTTTTAAGTGTAATAAACAGGATGATCGAGTAGAAAAGACAAAACAGGATCATAATTACTGGAGAACTCGTCAGTCTGTGTAATTACGGGTTAATGACGTAGTATTAACGAAATTGATAGGAGGTTCGGACATATAAAGATAAAAATAGTAACCAAATATAATAATGCAGATAGGGATTTAAAAAAGTAAATATGACAGAAATAAACGGAAGGTTGGACAATAAAGGTAATACGATAATCATTATTGGTGAGACTGACTTTTCATGATGGCCGCGGTAGAGACAACAGTTGGACGTACTTCTTTTGGACACATAGAGTAGGCTTAAGTTTTTGGATCGCCAGTGCTTCAGCTATTTCTAGATGTCTTGATTTCACTCCCTTTCGTAGGCTAGATCACATATTGTATTTGGCTTTGAAGGACTTTCCAAATAGAGCTGAGTGTCCAGAATTCACCAGATGTTCTGTTGTCGAACTGTATACCGCCTTGCGTTCTCCCTTTGCTAACCATGCTGGATAGTGTTCCCGAGCACGTTTTACAAGCGGACGTATGGTACGATTAACGTACTCAGCTTCAGAAGAGCAAGTGAACTTGTATATGCACGCTGAAGTGGCCTTATGCGACAGCTTGTCTTTCACGTGCTTGGTGAATAGTTTCTTGCAAGAGAATGTTACTTATAAGCTAGCGGTGAAGTATGTTTTACTAAGAGACTTCGAAAGCCGTTTGTGAAGAATTTCTGCTTCGGTATCACTTTTAAATTCGGGGTTCAACATCATCTTTTTAGGGCGGCTTGAACCTTTTCATGTGTTTTTCTTGCTTTTACATTCTTGTCTATGAATCTGGGTGGGAATCCATTTTCAATCAAGGTCCCTTGGAGATTTTGTAATTCTCCGTCGACTGACTCATCAGTGCAAACCTTTCGGATCCTCGAGGAAAGCGAGAATATTAGGTTTTTCTTTCTGCTTAGAGACACATAGCTTTGAAAGTTAACAAACAATCCATTCCATGTGGGCTTTTTGTAGATGGATCTTCTTAGCGAGTTGTCTGCATCACTTCATTGTTGAAAGTCGAGGAAATGAAACATTGAGTTAGACTCAACTTCCAAGGTGAAGTCGATGTTTAGGTGGGCATTACTGGAGATTTGAAGTAGATTTTTTAGATCACAATTCTCATCACAAATAACGAAAGTATCATCGATGTATCACTTGTAGAGACGTAGGTCGTCGATTGTTGATGATGACGATTAATATTTCTTAATTTCCGCTAAATAATTTTAGGATGGTAGATTCCAGTACATTTAGTGAAATTTAATGTCATTTTTAAATATTTTTAATGCTACATCATTAATAGTGACCTTAAAGACTTATAAGTTCCTTCAAAGAGCTAAAGGCAATTACCACTTAACCAGATAAATTTCGACTATGGAGGTACATAAATACCTGATTTGAACGCTCTTTCTTCCTAGATACATCATCGATTGTGGATGTCTACAAGAAGAGTAACAACTATCCCAAGTTCTGTTAACAGTGATCACTCGATGGACAAAGATGAAGCATTTGATGTGATTTATCTCACCCAGTTGGATCTTCCTATATCCTGATAGTTTAACTGAGATTATGTGAAATCCTAAACTTTTTTTCTAAAAAGGTTCCTATCATGGATATCCCTTTTTTGGTCAGGTAAGACTCAACTAGTCATTGCCATCCGAACATTTTCTTAATCGTTTGTTTGGAACTCTTCATCAATACTTACTCATGAGTATAGTGCCAAGGGAACGAACCCAAGAGCTCCAGCTAACAGGGAGAATCCGTTGACCATTTAGTCACTGAGACGGAATCTTACTTCTACCAATTTGCGATATATATACAGCCTAACTTCCAACCAATATCACTGGCGAGTGTCTGTTCACATACTCAACTTGGTTAACTCCGCTGACCATGATTTCCCATGGTGTCTATCTTTTAATACGTTGTTTCATTACATGTGGCACCAAATTACTTGCAATTCAGAAATAACACTTGTACCGTACTAAAAGGTTAAACTATTGAATTTATTCTCTTGAAATTTAACATTTCCGCGCTACCAAGAATATGTTCTTTGGAAACTCCATATCAGTATCTAGTGGGATCTCCTAGACTTTAGAAAGTCTTTTTCATTTAACCTGAAGATCTCTATCTCTAAGATGTTACTATTTCAAAAAAGTAAAACAGAAAGATCCTGACTAAACTCATGATTAATTTCTCCAGTTTATTGAAAAACTGATGATACTCGTTAAACATTCTAAAATAAAACCTTGCTTTACAAAAATAGCAGATATCTACACAATTGAAATTCACCGTTTACACTGTGAAAATTTGAATGTATCCTATAACAACTCTTCTACACTTGAATTTAAATGGGATTTTAGTCATTGGATTTCAAAAAATGTATCTAGGGGAAAACAGTACCATAAGCCTAATAAGAACAAAAGGCAATCTCTTAACTGATATAAGACATTGATGATATATAATAGACTTCCTTTGGAAGTAATCTGACAAAGAAAATCATCAATATCATTATTGGTTTCTTGATACATTTGTAACAAAAGAGGGCAAGACACGGAAACCAAGGTATGTTTTTCATTAATCAAACCGCTGTTTATTTATACACAGCTTATATTCGTTAACCAATCACTGAGCGTGTGATTTTGGTCTACATTAAGTGACATGAAATAGAAAGTTCAAATACAAATACATAGTATTCTGTTGCTAACGCAGTCCTGAACTGTGGGAATATGTGAGAATAATATTCCGTTGAAACACATTGTCTGTATCATACCACCACACATTGAAATCAAGTTCGAAATAGATCTTTCTTTATTTCATTTCCTAAATGAATAAAGGCTAAAAGTAATAATCAGTTGTAATGGCTGGATGTTTTTTTCTTTTTTATTCCTTCGCGTTCCCAGTGGAACATACGGCTTCAACCCAGAGGATTCAATTTTTTGTAGTAGAGGTAATTATTTTTACAGGATGGGGTTGCTAGCTTCATGCCCAACCTTTCCTCTTCACCAGCTTTATTTCTGACTGAACGAAGTAAAGGAGAACGTCGGTGGTCGGGGATCGGACCTTCGACCATATGCATAGTCAGCAAGCGTCCTAACTGCTGTGCCACCGGCGCACTAAGTAATCTATCCGAATTCCTTTACCACTAGTGATTCGATATTGAAAATTAAACTTCATAACAAAAAAATATCAATTAAAAAACCCTTTTTCAACCATAAAAGAAAATTAGAAAAAAAAAATTTTATTTTATTTTAAGAAAAAAAAATAAAAAAAAAAAAAAAATTAATAAATTCCCTTAAAAATTTGTGGACATGAAAATCACCACTTTACCCGTGTTTACATGCTCTAGGCCTTAAATGAATTTCTCGTGAAACCCTTAAATGCTTTCATTAAATTTGTATATAAACCCAAACTACTTATATAAAATATAAGTAGTATATCACAATAAACATAATTAAACTGAATAACTGCTTCCAGAAATTTCTTAATGCCCCACAACCATAAATCTATTAATTTTAGTATACATTAGCAGATTGGTTCAGAGAACATTCCCTGCAGTTGACCTGGTACTTACTCTCTGAACTGAACTAGTACTCACACAGTGAACCGAAAATAAGTTACCAATGACAGCTTCAACAGTTCGCTTCTATGAGTTCAGTTGCTCCTGTGGAGCTAGTTATATAAGCCGTACTCAAAGGGTTTTATCCACACTCATTTATGAACATATACGTATCTGGTTGGATGAATAGTAGACAGTTAAGATCCAGCAGGTATTCTCGACGATCCCTGATAATCCATCCAAGGAAGGTTGGCTACGTCTATTATCATCAGTAATAGAAGTAGTAGCAGTTAATACAGGAAAGCCCGGTTCTTGTATCTGCAAAAAGTAAGTACGGCCTCTTTTGTTTATCCTGACCTACAGCAAAGTCAACAAATCTCCTATAAACAATGAAAAATAATGCTTTAAGTCCCTATCCCATTTTTCTCACCCCCTTTGTCTCATTTACAAACTTACGATTTGATTATATTTCTTATTATTTCTCTTACTTCAGGTTTACTAAGGCTTTTCAACTGTGTTATTGTATTTCCTCAACCCTTTTCATTCCAATTTATTTAATGCTTCATTACCTGATAATTACTCTGTAATTGTACTTTTGTGTTTAAACCAGGCCATCGTTATTATTTTATCATCATTTTTATTGTTATTTGTCGCCCTTGTACTTACATCTAGCCAATAATGTTTGTTGGTTTATTCCTCAGTAATATTCATATTGTATCTCAGACCACTAACTACACTCACCCTTGGAACCTGTACTTCTGTTGACTATGTGTATACACGCATCAATGAGTTATTTCATTTCATTTTGTCCCATATTCTTATTGAACGCACGTCTTTTAAGTGATTATTATTATTGTTCCCTTGGGTTCCTAGTGGAACATAGGGCTTCAACTGCACGTCTCCACTTGCCACTTCTGTCTTCCTTCTGCCGTACTTTTCACCTTCATCCATCCATGTTAGTCCATACTGTTTCAATTCCTTTTCACACGATCTCCTCCATGTCACCCTCCCACTGACGTCCCACTCGCCGCCTCCCTTTCGGCCTGGTTCCACTCGAGCAATGGCCTGACGCGCGCGAGATGTCACCCAGCGGCCTCCTCAGCAAGTGTCCGATCCATCTCCACTTTCTCTTGCATATTTGTTGGTTGACGATTGGTTCTTGTTTTGTTTGTTTTTTCCCACAGTTTCTTGTTGGTGATTCTTTCCAGCCCGGTCATCTGATCTTCAGTATAGATCCAGCGAAGACAGTTGTTAATAAAGGTTTGGTCTGCAACAGGCTGTTGGATATATTCTTTGTGACCCACCCGCCAAGTTTCTCATCCGTATAGAAGAACTGACTGACTTGATCACGTTTGTACTGAAAATCCGACCGAATTTTGTTGTTGATGCTGGCTGAGTGACGAAGATTTACAGATTGATTTCAGGTTGATGAATATGTTTCTCGCCTTCCCGATTCTCGCTCGATTTGACATCCTCATCCGTTCCGACTTCCTGTAGTTGAGACAATGCTCTCTAGATAAGTGAGTGAATGAAGTAACCTCTTTCAAATCCCTCCCACTGATGGTGATTGGCGCTGGATGTTGCTGCTGTTGGTGTTGTTGTTGGCAGTTTGGTTATTTTCATAACCTCCGTCTTGTCTATGTTCACATGGAGTCCTGTCTTCGCCGACTGATTCTTCAACCAGTTTGTCGGTTTTCGCTTGTCAGTCTTCGATTTTTTGTGATATCATGCATAAATCATCCACGCGTGAAATTCAGATCTTCTAGGTTCTCCACATCGGTCTAGGATATCCCTGTCTTCGCGTTTCCCACTGTTTGACGCATATTCCAGTCAGTCCACCACAATTAGGAATATCATTGGTGATAATAGGCAGGCACCCTTGTCTGACTCCTGTGTTTACTCCAAACGCCTCGCTGAGTTTTCCGTTGTGGACCACGTGACATGTGCCGTACATGTGTCGTACAGCTGTTGAATAAGGTTGTTGAATATTTTGGGCGCTGTACGCCGTAGTACTCGAGTAGTTTCCAAATTACTTCGCGGTCAACGCTATAAGTGATTATCAAAACTAATGGGCTACTGCTCCATCTTACAATTGTACGACAATACACTTTTTGCTATAATTCTCATTTTCAAGAATTAGTTTGTAGGGATTCTGTTTGTTTCAAGTCAGGCCACATATCGACATCATTTAAGGAACTATTGAGCACCAGGGAGTACTGGACAGCTGTTTCGTCATAGTTTGACGCTCATCATTAGTACACACCCACAGTCAGGGTTCTAACCCAAAACCTTCCGGTTACAAGGCAAGCTCGTATACCATTCAGCCACTGGGATCCGATTCAATGGCCAGCCCATGAATTCTAACTTCTTCCATTTCGTGACTTTTGCGCAGCCACCAACCAGTGTCATCTCTGGCGAGTATTTGTGCTCACTTCCGACCGGGATGACCACACTGGTCACGACTTCTCACTAGAACTCCAGAGAACTTTTTCCTGCAGCCAGTGGGTACGTACTGCCGAGGAGTCTGGAACTAGAGAGAAACATTTGTCCGGTACCCCCGGTTCTCAACGATTCTCTAACTGATGTCAATTCGTGGTCTAACTTGAAATAATTCTAATTGGCCATTACTACTAGCTACTGTATGCTAACATGAATGGATTTATAGCTGTGAGGTATGCAGAAGAATTCACGGAAAACAATTTTTCTCTCTCTAATTATTTGTGACCTGAATAACTATTTCAAAAAAGAAAAAACCAACAAGGAGTTTACCAAGAAAAATTTTTACTGCGATGAACAAAAATTAAAATTCCAAGTTTCTCTAATAGTGTGGTGACAGCAGGCTGCTAGCCAATTGGTAGACATTAATCTAAGTCAATGTCTAGGTCACTAAATTTGGCCTTGAGAAAATATGAGCGAGGCTGATTCAACAACCACTCGCAGCAGACTTAAACGTGGGCAAATATGATTCGCAGATAGATGGCTCCACTTTCCGGGAAATCTCGAAAACAACCAATCAGAAGACTGCGTTCGTCTACTTGAATAAGCTATAATAATGTACAGGAAATATATATAAATACGTGCTGATTTCCGTAATAAAACGATCTGTTGCCGGCCCTTGTCTTCTGTTGTTACAATAGGACTAAGTGAATTTCTATTAAATCTAATAAAAAAAAAATAAACAGCTTACCGATTCTGTTCAAATTCTTGACTAAGACGTTTCAACTGTGGTACAGTGAAAGAAGTTCGTGGTCGCTTTAGTTAATTTCATCATTTGTTCGACACATTCGTGGTTTTCTTATCCTTGGACCTGAATTAAACAATGAGAAATAATAATCTGCATTAATTCATTGAATAGCATCCTGTGATTTTGTTTAAATCGATGAAAAATGTACACTTTTTTCTACATGATATCACATATTACTGAACACTTTTCAACTGATAAGAGATTCAAAGAGAAAATTTAGAGCATTTATTTATGCTAACATACCAGTCCATGATCTTTAGGTTACAAGGCCAGTATTAGGTTCAAACTCGGGCGGGATCATAGGTGTGCACTGTTGGAAAGTCCTAAACAAGGTCGAAGCAACTGTCAAGTGTTCCCTGGTTCAGAGACTGTGAAGACTATTCATGCTGACACTTGAACACAATCAAATCCCCCTAAACCAACACTTGAAACCCTGATTTTCTTACTGTTAATCATCTGTGTTTTGAAAACCATACACGTGTCCATGATTTACACAGCATATCTCTTACATCTTAGTTCGTTTTGAGCTCCTTTTCTACTTATCCACTTGCTTAACAACAAAAACATCTGTGAATTTAGTAATAAACACTCATATAGTGGAAGGCAGAGAAAAGCGCTACTGTTTTAGGTGGACAAGGGAACAGCGTAAGCAGTTATTTCAAGTATGATCATGAACTGTCTTCGATTAGAGATGTTTCATCCTAGTTTGGGACTCTTCAATGGCACGCATACGGGACCTTCAGGTAACAAGGCTGGTTCGTTGACCATTCAGTCGCTAGAAAGGAATACAGTATCCAATGGATTTTAACTTTTACCAATTTGCAATGAGTAAGGCGGCTGCCATGAGTGCGTACCGCTCGAGGGTCCTAAACTAGGACGAAATAGCTGTCAAGTACTTTCTGGTTTTCAGTGGTTTTGTAAATGAAGTCAGTTCGTTTTTCAGACTTGAAGTCAGTCAAATCCTTGAAAATCAATACTCAGAAATAAGCAGTTATGTTTTATGGTATTTTAGCAGAAAAATAGGGGTACTACCTGTCACATTCATATTTGAAGAAGACAGGAAGATATCACTGGGCTAAGCCTGCATGCTCAACTTCATCATGTTTTCTTTGCAAAAAACAACTAAAGAACAACAATTATTCCTTATATCTTAGTAAGTAATATAACGTGCTATCTGAAATTCTGTCTTGACGTTTTTTGTCTGAAAGAAACAGCTTTTCCTTTTCTCAACTCAAATGATTCGCCGAGAAGAAAAGTTAACCAAAATGAAAGAAAATGCTGGTGTTAAGAGACTGGAGATCCTAGTTAAATTGGAAATACAGAGATTGAATAGGATCTATAACCAGAAGTCCTTATCATGCATAATGTCATCGCATATGTGGAAGCTGTTTAAGCAAATCACTTGTGGTAAGCAAATAAATAATGTTCCTTATTAAGTTGACGCTTGATAAGTCCTTGATATGTCGACAAGTTCGTGTTATGATCCCAAATGCTACAAGTGCAAAAATGACTGCTTCTCTGGTTTCAATACACACGACTTCCTGAAATGTATCAAATCCTTGAAAACTACCCATTCCTTTGGTCCAAATAGTGTACCATTTGTTATCCTCAAAAAATATGGGGACACTTCATGCTTTCCTCTCGCTGGTATTTTCGATGAGTCGTTTTGCATAAACGCTGTGCCTACTTGTTGGAAGGACGTCAAAATTGTTCCCGTGCCTAAAGCATCAAGTTGACTAAGTTTTAAGTCTAGACTTATTGCCATTAATTCACTTTTTTAAATAACGGGAAACATGCTTTTACTTAACTTTGGACCATCATTGAAGGCTTCTAACGACCCTGGACAATTTGCTTATAAACACAGTAGGTGCACTTTAGATCCCGCTGTTTTCTTATGTCATAATATTGTCTCCAATTTAGACAAAGGTTCCAGATCTGTTTCAGTGTGCCTTTCTAGGTTACACGTCTGCCTTCGACTCTGTACCATGGCCTCTTTTGTTAAACAAGCTTTCTGCAACTCGAGCAAGCTGCTGGACTAATAAGTGATTACATTCCTACTTTTTGGATAGGAAGCAGCACATTGTTTACAATGGGAAGTCCTCCGCTGATTCACGGGAGATATTTGATACCGGTTACTTCATTTACTCATCCGGCTAGGAAGCACGCTTTCAACCACAGGTAGTTGGAACGGATGAAGATTTCAGAGCTAGACACCTAGAATCGAAAAGGCAAGATAGGCAGGCATTCATCAGCCTGAAACCAGTTTGGAAATCTTCTGCACTCCGCTTCAGCATAAAGAACAAGATTCAGATTTTCAACACAAGTATGAAGTCGGTCAGTCAATCAGTCACTTTTTTATATATGAGTAAGAAACCTGTACAGATCGTCATGAAAAGCATTTCCAACACAATACAACAGAATTATATCAAGAGCTGCCTTCGCTGGCTCTATAGTGAAGATCAAGTGACCAACCGGCTGGCCAGAAAGAATTAGTAACAAGGAACTTTGGCTGCGAACAAACTAACAGGCGAGGCCGATTGGTCAATAAATACGAAGGAGAAAATGGAGATGGGTAGGGAACACATCACTAAGGAAGCTGTTGAATGACATCTTGCAGGCCATCACTCCAGTGGAATGTGAATGGGAAGCGACTAGTGATTCGTTGGTGCGAGGGTGACATGGAGGACATGGTATGGAAAGAGGAAACCAAAATTATTCAGCTTCCATACAATATATGATAAACTTGGTACTATAAATGGCAACCAAGAAAGCAAGCATAAATGCATAGGACTATATACTACTGATTGATTGAGATGAGTAGTGTTATACCGCTCACATCAACCACCAGTGTCTACTAGCCACATTGAAGTGATCTAAACACCACGGGACAGATATTTTACTCGTTTACTGCAGAGCTCATAGGAGGTATAACTAGTTTAACTCAGCTCAGAAAACCGAAATCTCACTTCCTTGAACTGAGTAAATTGTAAATTACGAATCTGACTTTAGCTATTATCAGTTTGCCCAAGTATTATTATTATATATAATAATAATACTTTGGCTCCTTTAGTTCCTAGAGGAACATAGGGCTTCAGCCGCACGTCTCCATTACATTCGGTTCTCTGTCAGTGTTTTCACCTGGCTCCATGTCTGCCCACATGCTTTCATCTCCTTTTCACATGACGTCCTCCATGTCACTCTAGCACTGACGACCAACTCGCTACTTTCCATTCGGGCTCCAATCGGGCGACGGCCTGGTATGTGATGTTAGGCACTTGATGGTTTTCTCAGAATATGGCCAATCCATCTCCATTTCCTTCTGCATATTTGTTGTACAATTGGTTCCTTTTGGGTCGGTTTGTTCTCAGAGATCCCTGTTGCTGATCTTTACTGGCCATCTGATCTTGAGTGTTCAGCGAAGACAGCTGTTGATGAAGGTATGTAGTTAGTTTGAAGTGCCATTCGTGACGCGCCAAGTCTGTGATCCGTATAGTGGTAGTGACTTCACATTGGAGTTGAAAATCCGGATCTTATTTTTCATACTCAGTACTGCTGATCTCTATACAGACTTGAGGGCAATGAAAGCTTGCCTTGCTTTGCCGATCCCTGCTTTAATATATTCATCAGTTCTGTTCACCTGTAATTGAAACGATGCTTCCCAGGTTGGTGGGTAAAGGAGGCTGCTTCTTCCAGATTCCTCCCATTTATGCTGACTGTCGTCTGTTGCTTTTGCTGTTGGTCAGGAATATTCATCAACTCTATTTTCTCTATGTACACCTGAAGGCCTATCTTCTCTGGATGCATACTCTGTCGCCAACTTGTTGCTTTTCACTTGCATATCTTCCAGTTTTTGGGAAATCAGACATATTATCATCGGTGGAGTCCAGATCCTCCAAGTTTTCTGTGTGGGTCTATTTTATGTCTGTCTCCTTGCTGCCCGTTGTCTTTCTCACTATCCAGTCTACCGTAATCAGGAAAATCATTGGAGACAGTAGGCAGCCTTGTCTTACTCCCGTCCTCACTTTGAAGGTTCCATAAGTTTCCCGTTGTGGATTACTTGGCATGCAGCATTATCGTACAACTGTTGGATGAGGTGTATAATTGTTGGCGGCACCTCGTAGTAACGAAGTAGCTGCCAAATCACCTCTCGATTGACGCTGTCGAGAGCCTTTTCAAAGTCGATGAAGTTGAGGTAGAGAAGTGACTGACTTCCATTCCATGCTCAGCCCAATGGTGATCCTTAGTGTTGCGATGTAATCGATGCATGGCTTGTTTCTCCTGAATCCAGACTGTTCAGGTCGAAGTTTTTCATCCATGTCGGCTTTTTTTATTCTCTCCAATTAGCAGCCACCTTGCCCTCTTTCCACACCTTCTTCGGCAGTGGCGTCATCAAGTCCGCTGATATCTTGGGGTCCATTTTCAGTGCTTCTATGGGGATTCCGTCTGGTCCTTCTGTTTTTCCAGTTTTTAGCATCTTTATGACCTTTAGGACTTCTTCTTTCGTCGGACGGTTGGTACCCACTAGTATTTCTGCTTCCGCTATTAGTATTATTAAGCGCGTTGTATGTGGCGATCAATTTAGAATTCTTTTGAAATGTTCAGCCCAGTGTTTCCTTTGCCTCACCTCTTTGATGATTGACTTTCCATTGTCATCCTTCACTGACTTAACTTGAAGTTCGCACAAGTAGACAGCTAGAAATAGGATGATTTGAATTGATTCTGTTCCCCAAACTGAATAAAACTTGTTACATCGCTGATAAACTCATCTCAAAACCAGTGAAATGGCCAGCTGTTGTTGCGATCACTTCAACCTGAGTGGCATGCACCATTGGTTGATGTCAGCGGTACACAACTACTCATTTCAGCCAATCAGTAGTATATAGATTTTTATGCAATTTATTATTATCTCAACAACATATTGTCCTAGGCGTTTCATTTTTATCACAGAAAGTAACTATAAATACTTCCTCACTAATACATAAGATGAAATCACTTATAAAATTAGTAAATTACCCAAGATAAGTGATAATTTTCACACATAAATATACTTTTCCCCATAGAAG